GTCATTGTTGTTTGGCGGGTCCTGGCTTGATTCGAACCTACCACCTTAGGTGTATGTGGCTGGTGCCTTAGCCGGTTGAGCTATAGGCGCCAAGCCAGGGGGATGGGTCTCTTACAAGGAAAGCTAGTATATAAAATTAGGAGCTCCCTACCACCCCTCAAATCATATCACTTAGGTAATCTTCATATCAGTTTGTTTTTGAAACTAACCAGAAACCAGGGCTGTCGGTTAACAGTATTAGAAAGCACCAAAACTTTAAGGCAATATCTCTTGAGGTTGCCCTGGGCTTTGAGCTTTGACAAGAGTCTTTGTTGGTGGTTTAGCGGTATGGTTTTAAAAATCACTTCATTCTGATGGTTTGTGTTTGCCTTTCAGAGGTACATGGAGGTCAGTGGGAACCTGAGAGATTTGTATGACGATAAGGACGGGTAAGTGACAGTAACGGCTGATCCAGAAGAGTTAATGCTTCTGAGGAGCCATTGTTAAAGGACTGATTGTGCGCTTTGTGCTCTTTGGATTTTTTCTTGAAATTTCAGGTTACGGAAGGAGGAGCTCAATGCTATTTCAGGACCCAATGAGTTTGCTGAGTTCTATAACAGACTCAAACAAATAAAGGAATTCCACCGGAAGCACCCAAATGAGGTATGGCCTCAGAAAATTATTTCCTCCTAGCCTATCCAAAGAACATACTTTTAAAGTAAGGAAAATTGAGGTATGCTACTCAGATGTCTCTTCAAGGAAGAATTCGTCATGCATGGAGCATAGTTAGTGAACATCCTGTAAGTACAATGTCTTCAAGACACCCCCTCAGCTTTTAAGTTGTAGCTACACTCTTCTGGGCACTTCCCAGCCAGTGACTGAGTATAGTGGAGGTACTATGGTATAGCTGTTTCTGCCCAGTGTGAAACTCCCAGAGGTCTTCATTGGGTTGTTCAACATTTTGTCCAGTCTGCACTGTGGTCTAAGCTGTCCCTTTCCATCAGAAAGGTCAGATGACAGCTCCAGGTAGTGTTGTCTTATTGAAGCTAAGCAAAATAGTTTCAGAAAGTCATGGTATCAACATTCTTGATTGATAACTGTGCCATTTGCCGTTTCATCGGAGTAGTGGGATTGGAAATCTAGTCATAAGGGTAAAAGTGGTTAATGAAGTAGAAGCATGGAGTATGGGACATGCATTTGAAAGAATGGCAGGAAAAGAAGAGAGCAACAGAGGGTCTTAAGGAAGATAGCAGAGATGTAGATCTCTGAAGAAGCAGATGAAAAAAGCAAGAGGCTAAAAGTAACCAGAAAGTAGAGGCTGTTTGTTGAAGTACATAGTGTAGAGACAGATGAAGGTACCCTCCCTCACACACCCATCCCCATCCCCTTTGGAGGATACAGTATGAGTACTACTAACCAAGAGAGAAGACATGAGTACTGTTCTGGCATGTTAACCTTATTCCAGCCATGGTTTAAAGGTAATGAATAAATGGTTAAATAATTGATTAGAATATGGTCAACATACACTAAGTGAAACACTGTGTGAAAAGAGCAAGTCTGTTTATATAAAAAACAAAAACTTGTGCAGTCATGAATGTGTTTGTATGATTATATATCTGATATTTAAAAGCATAGAGTACGACCTTCTCAGGCCGCGGGCTTCAGCCCAGGTAGTTTGAGAACAGTCTGGGCAATATTGTAAGACCTCATCTAAAAAAAATTACATACAGCAGTTGTTTTCAAACTTTGTAACATATTGAGTCACCTGGGGGTCTTTAAGAAGTACTGATGTCTGCCCCACTTTGATTTAATTGATATCAGGTACATCAGGAATTTTTTTTTTTTTTTTTGGAGACAGTCTCACTTTGTCACCCTCAGTAGAGTGCTGTGGCATCATAGCTCACAACAACCTCAAAGTCTTAGGCTCAAGCGATTCTCTTGCTTAAGCCTCTGGAGTAGCTGGGACTATAGGTACCTGCTACAGTGCCTGGCTTTTTTTTTTTTTTGAGACAGAGCCTCAAGCTATCCCCCTGGGTAGAGTGCTGTGGCTTCATAGCTCACAGCAACCTCCAACTCCTGGGCTCAA